AACCAGTCTATATATCACAGAAAAAGAAAGGGGGGGCCCCCCATAAGTCAACCAGTCTATATATCACAGAAAAAGGGGGGGCCCAAAAGTCAACCAGTCTATATATCTCAGAAAAGGGGGGGGGGGGGCCTGAGACTCAGCACTTAGTGTATGAAAAAGCCCACATTGACAATTCAGTAGCGTACCTGCTTTCGTTTCCTCCTCCTTTTTCCACAGTTTGACTTTCTCTCCCCTGGGTAAGGCACTTAGTGTGATTTCTGAAGAAGACTGAAGGGAAGTCTGCGGGAACTTGGCTACCGGCTTCCCAAGCACTACCGCAGCTTTCCTACACACGTGCTTGATGCGGGGCCCTCGTCCCTCGGAGGCTGGGGACGAGGCAACACTCTCGGGCGAGCTAGGCAATGGACCAGCTGCTGAAACACCTTCCTCTGACCCGTCTTCTGTCTGTCCAGGGGGTGACATCAATCCTTCTGTGGTCAGATCAACAGACAACACATTTAAATGTCTAGTGTCCATGTGTAGATACATTCAATAATAAATGTCTGGTGTCCATGTGTAGATACATTCAATAATAAATGTCTGGTGTCCACGTGTAGATACATCCAATAATCAATGTCTGGTGTCCACGTGTAGATACATTCAATAATAAATGTCTAGTGTCCATGTGTAGATACATTCAATAATAAAAGTCTGGTGTCCACGTGTAGATACATTCAATAATCAACGTCTGGTGTCCACGTGTAGATACATTCAATAATAAAAGTCTGGTTTTCACGAGTAGCTACATTCAATAATAAATGTCTGGGGTCCACGTGTAGATACATTCAATAATAAATGTCTTGTGTCCACGTGTAGATACATCCAATAATCAACGTCTGGTGTCCACGTGTAGATACATTCAATAATCAATGTCTGGTGTCCACGTGTACATACATTCAATAATAAATGTCTGGTGTCCACATGTAGATACATTCAATAATAAATGTCTGGTGTCAACGTGTAGATACATTCAATAATCAATGTCTGGTGTCCCCGTGTACCTACATTCAATAATAAATGTCTAGTGTCCATGTGTCGATACATTCAATAATAAATGTCTGGTGTCCATGTGTAGATACATTCAATAATAAATGTCTAGTGTCAACGTGTAGATACATTCAATAATAAATGTCTGTTGTCCACGTGTAGATACATTCAATAATAAATGTCTGGTGTCAACGTGTAGATACATTCAATAATAAATGTCATACAACTTTCTCTCTTTCATTCAATATTTTTCACTTCGATGTTTGTGATAGGATAAGTGACAATAATTCTCTGTACAGGGAAACTTTTGCCTCGTCTATCTTTTGCCCTTCATCAGTATATTCCCTATTTGCCCCGTGTTAATTTCACCCTTCATCAGTAAATTCCCTATTTGCCCCGTGTTAATTTCACCTTTACAATTGGTTTCTATGTAGGAGTTGTTGTTATTAAAATTTGCTCTGATAATAAATTCACCCTCATTTATGGAGGATGAAATAGTCCTAATTTAAATTATGTAAAAATTGCCCAAGCATGCAGTAATCTACAAAATGACAAATATTTTCACTGGATATATTTTATCGACCGAGAAAATTACAGTTATGGTTTGTTACCCGTACCCTCTGCTGAGTCTCCTTGGATAAGTTTCTTGGTTGGTGATTCCTTCAATGGTTTAAGTTTATCCTCCGCGGGAAACACCTCCTGACATCTCAGGTACCGGCAGAACACACACCGTCGTATATCTGTACTACAGTTACCTGTAATTAAGGTAAAACGTACCACTAAATCAGTTATATTCCTGAAGAAGAGTTCAACTCGTTGGGTTTTTACTTTTCAGTGTTTGAAGAGAGGTTATCCTTCCGACTCAGGTCTCATTTGCAGGAGGATTTCAAGATTTGTTTCTTTAACCCTTTCAACCCTAGGAAACTTAACCCTTTCACCCCTATGTAGCTTTAGTAGACTCTACCATGCATTGATATTGGTGAGTCCATTATGGTTTACAGTGGTGAAAGGGTTAAACCCACTATTAATTGGTCATCGGTTAATTCTGGGAAATTAATGATCGGTCATAAAACTTCAACAGATTCCAAACAGTATGTGAATTCCAGTGTTCTAGCTGTAGACAAGATCAGGTTCAAGTCATCAGTTGAGAAGGGAGAGTAAGCTATGATGTTACTCACACACCAAACAACTTAACTGATGGAGCAAATTATAATAGTGACATAATAAAATTGGATGCCCGTGTGCTCCATGATGTAGCATATATAGGCAAAAAAGAAACGTGATCTTTTTTCTTTCGAGATAAAAGTAGAAGATAGGATTAATATCGTTCTTTCCTGATGTAAAACAATTCTAAACTTTTTGTTTACCGTTACAGAAAAAGTCTTTCTCTTTGGCCCGCTTCATATGGACCCTGTAGAATCTCCGACAGCCGTCACAACACGGGACGCCGTAGTAGTTACGCCGCCTCAGTGGGGGCAGGTTGGAATCCTTACACACAGCACAAACCACACCTGCACGGGCACGGCCAGAAAGTCCTGTCAGAAAAACAAGTTATCAGCGTGTTTACAGATCTAGGTAATAATTACTCAATATAGCCGTAGTAATTATGTATCACATACCCTAGTGTCACCACGTGGTAATTATGTATCACTAGTGTCACCACGTGGTAATTATGTATCACATACCCTAGTGTCACCATGTGGTTATTATGTATCACATACCCTAGTGTCACCACGTGGTAATTATGCAGTGCTCCAGATAACTTTTGAACACGTTTTTTTTACCCCTTCCTCACCAAAGTGGAGGGGTGAAAACTTAAGTTTTGAAACATGAAGTGCTTTAAAAGCAACGTTACCTGAAAATGTTGAAAAGACGTTGAATCATTTGTATGTGTTAAACTTTTAATATAGGGTTAAGAATGACTCAAATTCATATTTTTGTGTTGTCTAGACATGTGGTATTTTATTTCCATTTCACTGTGAACACAATCACAGTGAAATGGAAATAAAATGCCACATATCTATTCAAAATGGGGTCGGAAAATATCATAATAGGGTGTGGCATGAAACATTACAAATCGTTATCGAAGCGTGCAACCGTTTGTGGATGGAAAAACCACTTCCCCTGGCTGACGTCACAGTCCAGACTGTTGGTCAAACGGATGGCCAAACCTGGTTGAACTTGAAATGTTCGTCGTGCTCCAAACACAAGAAGGACAACGTTTTCACAAAGGGCTGCTCAAATATTCAAAAAAGTGCCCTTACCCGACACGAACAATCAGAGTATCAGTTGTCCGCTATTGAAAGTATCACAAAAGAAACTTCAATTAAAAAAAGAAACACGCTTCGTGAAACGGTCACAACATTAATGGAAGACATCGACGATGATGAAGTTACTGAGAGTAAAACAAATAGCGATTGTTTTAAAAGCGTCATGATTCAATTCTCGCTCATATAAGCGTTTGTAACAGAAGTACTATGCAAGCGTACGTGCAAGTGTCTCAGTGACTCACTTGTAAGCGTATTATAATCTGCTACATTGGTCCCGGAGACTGACGCAATGTTTCGGATTTTGCTTGCGTGAATTAAGCAAGTTCATTTTTTTCTTTTGTGTAATTTGTGAATTATCGGGCGTGAATACGCATTCACGCAAGCTATCTGGAGCACTGTTATGTATCACATACCCTAGTGTCACCACTTGGTAATTATGTATCACATACCCTAGTGTCACCACGTGGTAATTATGTATCACATACCCTAGTGTCACCACTTTTCCAGAGGTACAGTACTACTTTGTTGGTACCACTTATTTATTTCTACCCAATTGTGAAGTCCCTGCGGTTTGTATTTTTCCACGTATCTAACGACTATGCCCTACCCAAAGTTCCTGCAGTTTGTGTTTTTCCCTTCATCCAACGCCTATCCCCTACCCAAAGTTCCTGCAGTTTGTGTTTTTCCCTTCATCCAACGCCTTTCCCCTACCCAAAGTTCCTGGGGTTTGCGTTTTCCCCTTCATCTAATGGCTATCCCCTACCCCAAGTCCCTAGCAGTTTGGTCTTAACACTTACCTAACTTTGCCTCTGTCCATCTGGATGTGTTGTTAACACTTAAGGATTTCCATCCCATTCCCCAGCCCCTGGGAGTTCCTTCCTACCACTTATCTGACTCCCCGCCATGATCCCCAGTCCCCGGGGTTCTTCATTATCTCTTACCTAGCTCCTCTGTATGGCCCCCAGCCCCTCGGGGTACACTCCCTAGGGAGACGTCTTTACAACTTACCTAATTCCTTGCCATGATCCGCAGTCCCTGGGGTTCCTAATTACCACTTACCTAACTCCTCTCCATGGTCCCCCGCCCCTAGGGGCTCATCCTTAGCATCCATGTAGCTCTTCGCTACACCTGCAAACGTGGAGTAGCCAGACATCTTGCTGAATCCTCCGACCGCTGAACCCTGCTTTAGCCTCATCTTCTCCAGCTTGGCTTCCATTTTTATTTCCTGCAAGTGATAGCACAATTGCAAAAAACATATCAGATTTTTTTTTTTAGTTCAAAAGAGAAATAAACATTCACAGTAGCACTTCTGTCTCCTTTCATCTGACTCTGAGTTGGAATGAAGGGTTTTTAAGCTACATCAATAACCAGCACTTTATGGTAGTCTTTATGTTACTGTTGTTTTTCACTCTGCTGGGAAGAATTTTAAGGTCAATCTGGACAGCACTGGACTGGTACCTGTACTACCGGATTCAACTCCTGACCTTGCTTATGGAGGCTCTTTGAAACTATGACCTTGTTTACTCATAAAATATCAAGTAAATTATTTGTAATTCAAAACATGAATGCTAATTATTAAAATATCATGTATGATTTTTAAACTGAAATTTTGATTTGATGACAGAGGCACAGATAAGGATCAAACTATACCTATTATACCTATACTTATCAAAACCTATAAAATAGAAATCAAATTATTCGAGAAGACTACCTTTTTGAGGGTGGAATTAAAGCAAGAGGCGTACAACCCATGTTTCAAATGGCCTTACTACAGGTATACAAACCTTCTTGAGTGTTCGTGCAAAATCAGCCTTTGACCTATTGAGGGCAGATCGACTAAGCTGGAGTTTAGCCTTTCGTAAAATGTTGTGTCCTTTGCGCCGCGTGGCCAGAGCCTCCTTTTCCAGTGCCTCCAGCCTCTGTCTCTCTGAGAGGGCGCTTCGTCCACTAACGCCAAATTTGGGTGGCGCAAAAATTGGTGATGTTGGTAGTTTAGATGTGACAGCACCTGCAAGCTTCGAGGGCGTGAGGTGTACTCTCTTCAACTCGGATGTCTGGGCTTTCTCGGCCTCTATCGTTTTACGTGCCTCAAGTTTTTTCTCAAATGATTTGACCTGAAAGGCCTGAATACGTTCGTCTGTGAGTTTGATGCGGACCTTAAGACTTGGCTTCCGGGCTCGCTTTCCCTCGATTATTAATGGTTGGTCGTAAAGTGACAGGGTCTGTCCTGCTGAAATTCATAACAGAGATAATCGCTGACATGGGTACAATATCAAAGTTGAATACAACATAACTGAACCAAAACAAATTAAATGGTTCACGTATGTAAGTTGGTTGGTCATTCAGAAAACTGCTGTTTGGCTTGTAAAAATTATAATTTTTTAAATATGAATAAGTGAATCAATACCAAAATTTATGAGTTTACATTTAATACTTTTCGATAAATATTGAAAAAGATCAATCCAAGCAAATATCTTATTGTATTTAAGTATTTCATATACGAGGAATTATTACTGAAGTCACTAGTAAATGTAGCTAGCACCTT